ATTAGGATCTGTTTCAAATGAATCCTTACATTGGGTGTCACGTGAATCTGCAATGCAACCAGCTTTATCATTTTTAAGTAGTCATTCTCTTTCTATTGCTCCTTTTGATCTTGTGCATTCTGATGTTTTGGGTCCATCTCCTACACCCACCATAGAGGGTTCCAGGTACTTGGTGCTATTTATTGATGATCATACTCATTTTACCTGGATATATCTAATGAAAAACCGTTCTAAATTATCACAAATTTATATTGATTTTGTTACCGTGGTCAAAACTTAGTTCTCTAAAATTATCAAAGTTTTGAGAATTGACAATGCTCCTGAATATCTTGGTACTAAACTTCAATAATTTCTCAAAGAACAAGGTACATTGACACAACAATCTTGTCCTTACACTTTTGAACAAAATGGGTGAGTCGAATGCAAACACATACACATCCTTGATTCTGTTCCTGCTTTGCTCATTTTGTCTTCTTGTCCAAAGCGATTTTGAGGTGAAGCTACTCTTACAGCTGTTTATCTCATTAATCGCATTCCATCATTGGTCCTTAATAACCAGTCTCCATATGAGTGTTTACATGGTATTCTTTCTCCCTATGATCTTCTTAAGGTGTTTGGTTGTGCATGTTTTGTTCTTTTTCCACCTCATGAACATAACAAGTTAAAGCTTAGAGTTTGATTATGTTGTTTTTTGGGTTATTGGATTACACATAAAGGATATCATTGTTGGGATCATGTGTCACAAAAACTTCGAGTTTCACGTCATGTTGTATTTTGGGAACACATTATGTTCTCATCATTGTCAAACTTCAAAGTGTTATCCTTTCCTCAACCTCCATTTTTAACTAATCTTTCTGTTGAACTATTTCCTAGTGATTCTGATGCAGGTACATCTGATGAGCTCTATGATGCCTCATCAAATGCTCCAACTAATTTTGTAGAAGATGATTTGCCTACTAGTAATGCATTAGATAATTTTGAGTTTTCCTCTACTTCCTCATCTTCATCACCTATTGATGTTACATTTAATATTGTTGAGTCTACAAATGAGCTTGTTGTCCCATCCTCGAGTCGTCTTACTAGGGTAAGAAACCTTCTTAACTACCTTGCAATTATCATTATTTTCCTGCTATTACTTCTTTACATGAGCCTCAATCATATCAAGAGGCCTCTACTAACCATCTTTGGCAACAAGCTATGCAAGATGAATTACAAGTACTTGAGAACACTCGTACATGGGATGTAGTTGATCTCTCTGTTGAAAAGTCTCTGATAGGTTATAAATGGGTGAACAAGATCAAAACACAATCTGATGGTTTTGTAGAACATTATAAGGCATGCTTGTTTGCCAAGGGTTTTACACAAGAGTATGGAATAGACTATGAGGAAACATTTTCTTTAGTTGCTCGTCTCACATCTTTGTGCAGTTTGCTTGTTATCGTTACTGTATAGAGATGGAAATTGTTGCAGATGGATGTGAAAAATGCTTTTCTTAATGGTGACGTGGAAGAAGTTTCTATGAAACCACCTCTTGGGCTCAACCATTCTCTAAACAAGGTATGTCGATAACGACATGCATTATACGGGTTGAAGCAATTCCCTCAAGCCTGGTATGCAATGTTTAACGCTACTATGAGTGAGTTTGGTTTTACTTCGAGTCCACATGATACAGCTTTGTTCATTCATAAGACTACTTGGGGTATGGTTCTTTTACTTCTTTATGTTGACAACATGATTATTACTAGAGGTGATACTGCAGATGTTGAGGAACTAAAACAATTTCTTAGTAAAAAATTTGAGATGAAAGATCTTGGTGTTCTCAGCTATTCTCTGGGGCTTGAAGTCACCACTTTAGATGATGACTACCTCCTTTCTCAAGTAAAGTATGCCTTCAATCTTATTTCTAAAGCTAAACTCAATTATAGCAAGAGTGTTTCTATACCTCTTGAACTTAATGTCAAGCTCACACCTATGGATGGCTCTCCACTTTTTGATCCTACTCGCTATCGACAATTGGTTGGTAGTTTGGTTTATCTTACCACAACACACCCTAACATAGCATATGTAGTTCACATTGTTATTTAGTTTATGGCTGCTCCTCGTTCCTCGCTGCACTCATTATGTAGAGAGACTTCAAATTATTTGCTATATTAAGGGAATATTGTTTCATGGACTCCATTTTTCTTCTAAGTCCTTCCTTGTGCTTTACACTTATTCTGTATTGATTAGGCTGGTGATCCTTTTAATCGTAAATCTACCACTAGCTATTGTTTTTCCTTAATATTTCTTTGATCTCTTGGTGGAGTAAGAAAGAAACTATTCCATCTCATTCTAATACTGAAGCTGAGTATAAAGCTCTCAATGATGCCATATTAGAACTTCTTTCATTATGATGGCTTTTTGAGATATGGGCATTCTTTAGCCTTCTTCTACTAATTTATATTGTCATAATCAAAGTGCTATACAAATTGCTCACAATGATGTCTTCCATGAACGCACAAAGCATATCGAGGTTGATTATCACTTTATTTGTCATCATGTTACAAAAGGAATTGTTCGTTTGATTTTCATTAGTTTTGCTAATTAGCTTGCTGTTTTGTTTACCAAGACTCACTTCCCTGGACGCTTCCAAACCCTTCTTTCCAAACTCAAGTCAATTTCCTCACCACCACCTTGAGTTTGCTTGGGATGTTACAATATCAAAATTTATTTTAGAATATTATATTCACATTATAATTGATTATATACATTTAAGTTAATTGTTTTTATACCTATGAATATTCTATTGTATAGTTTTATACCTTGGAATATTCTATTGTATAGATCTATATATAGGACCTTTTTATATACAATGAAAACAATAAAGCAATAAACCTTTCTTCAAATTATTATTATTCTTTTCTGTTTCCAACATTTAGTAATAGAATAATGTTGAAACTAAACTACTCTTATTTTTATTATTTTCATTTTGAACTTAATAATTAACTTGTGTATTTATGCTAAGACCTAAGTAACTTAGTGGTAATCTTCTTCCATTAAAAATAAGAAGTCTTGAGTTTGAATCGCATAGCATGTGAGTGGGGTGAAATAAAGGATGAGAGAAGGTTGCCTTTCATTGTGCAACCAACATAAAAAAAGAAAAAAAAAAAACCTGTGTACTTATATATGTGATAAGGCTTCCTTTCATGTGTAAATGCCGTATGGCCTTTAACTTATAAATAAAACTTTACTTGAATTCAACCAAAAAAAAAAAATCTCACCCGAACTTTAGCTCAATTGTCGAGTGCATGCTATTGCTCTACCTTCAGCGACCTTCATTCAAAATTGTTAAGTGGAATGAATCGCATTAGATTTAAGTTTATAGCTAGGTTAATTTTCATTTATTGACTAAACCCATACTCTCAATGTAAATTCAATTTCAGCATTAACAGTGGACTTCAAAAAAGAATAGGTTGGAAGCTAATATCTTGTAAGCGTGTAACTCCAAAATCAACCAATAACAAGTAGATACTAATAATTAATTATAATATATTTTTTCAATTGAATCCTTACGTAAAATGTGATTATTGCACAAACTTTACTGTGAAATAAAGATTTGTGTATTCAACCCTTTAGTGTTTAAGATCATTTTAACACATTAATCATGAGGTACGGACTTCGATTTTTCTTCGACAGGGAACAGATTGTGGTGGATATTCTATGGACTGTCCATACAGTGCAGAAATAGTGGTGGTCCAAGTGCATTATAAGGATTGAGAATTTAATTAGGCAAAATATATTATTACTTCTGCGTTGCATGTACTACTTAACCAATGAAGAAAGATAAGGATTTGGTTAAATACATAAGACCTGAGGGTCATCTCCCTTTTCATCAACCATCGGTAAACACTTACTTTTAGTTTTTTATCTTAATAAATTTATAAGTTTTAGTTCATTACCTTATATTATGACATTTTTAACTCATCACTTATGCGAATTGAAGAAAATAGCCCTTACTTAATATTAAGTTATAATGTTTTGTTAGTTTTGTTATCTAATTGTTAGTTCTGTTAACTGATTACTAACTGTTAGCATTCCGTTAAAGGAACTAATAATTAAAATTGAAGTTAAATTTCATGTTTTGTATAACGGAATGCTAACAGTCAGTTAACAGAACTAATAGTTAACTAATAGAATTAATAGTCAACTAATGAGACATTAAATAATGGTTATTTTTTTCAATTCCTATATGTGATGGATTAAAAGTGTTATAATATAAAATGATGAATTAAAACCTATAAATTTATTAAGTTAAAAGAGATAAAAGTAGAATTTGCCTCAACCGTCTGGATCTTTTTCTTGCTCTCCCACTTCTCTTTCTGTATCCCTTTTTCCTTTTATTGAAAACAAAAAGAAGATATAAATTGGTGGTCCCTTGGTCTGAAAAATTTTCATGAATTATTGAAGGTAACTATTCCTCCCATTTCTTCATTTGTACCCGAATTTTTTATCAGTCTACTTTGAACTACCCAACTATTGTTTTAAATAGCACGGGTATGTGGACCTCTGACCAAACTAAAACATGCATATGCAAAGTCACCCCCTTCACTGCCGTCAGGCAAATCCTTACCTTTGGGTTGCTTGCCTCAATAGTGATAAAGAGATTCAAAACTGCATTTTTCTTAATGATTCACTTCACTTCTACTTAACAGTTAAGTCAGCATAAAAAAATTGACATTTAAGTCAACTCCAACAAGCTAACTACTCATGAACTTCATAAACAGAAGTCTTAATCAAAGAAAATTACACATTTTTTTCCCTAGCTCTGTAAATCATCAACTTCAAAGTTCAAATCTGATTAGGAATGAAATACCCCATTACAATCATAACAAAATCTAATAAAAT